GGCGGGACCCACGTCTCTTTTTGGGGGGGAGGGGGGAGTGTGTCCCCGCGTCTGTTTTAAGACGGGTCGCCCTGCCTGCAGCAATGCTGCCTCTAGGCTGTGGAGTCCTGTGAGCAAAAATTCTGCTTTGTGAGCTACTGGCATTAAAGTTGTGGCTGCCGCATAAATTAGTTTGCTCTGGAGCCCCATCCTTCCCGAGCTAAGACAAGAATCTGTGAGCCGGAGGCTAAAAAACTGTGAGCTGGCTCACACCGACTTAGCTTAGAGGGAACATTGGTCTGCAGCAGTAGATAGAGGAAGAGCAAGAGTCTCTCCCCCCCCCCCCCAAAAAAGGCATGTGGCAGGGGATTTTTTTTTTTTTTTTTTTGGGTTTTTTTCTTATTTATTTGTTAGGTTTTTCTACCCCACCCTCCCAGCAGAGCCGGTGAAGGACGGCTTCCGCAACCAGTGTAAAACATAATGCGGCAGTAAAATCTACATTGTAAAAGAAGAAGAGATTGGATTTATATCCTCTGCCATTCACTACCCAGAGGAGTCTCAGAGCAGCTTACAAACTCCCTTCCCCACAACAGACACCCTTTGAGGGAGATGGGGCTGAAGGAGCTCTTGACAGAAACGACTCTTTTTCAAGGACAGCTCTTATCAGAGCCATCAATACACAATTTAAAACTATAGCATCACAACATATTAAAGTGCTAGTGTTCGACCCTCAGCATACAGTACAGGGATGAACTTTAGTTGAACTTCTCACTTCAGATACCATTTGAAGAAGGGAGCAGCGACTCCCGAAAGCTCCTACCCTGCCGTCGTTCACAAGCATTTGCCAAGCTAAAGATACGGATGATAGGCGGATTTTCTGGGCGCGATCACACCACCACATCTGGGAAGTGTAGTGCACCCGTGGCTTCGTACTGAAGATACAGAGTAAAAAACCAGTACTTACGATGGTACTAGTTTCCGGAAAACGCGGGGCAAGGGCGGGCGTCTGATCGCGTCCCATCCTAGTCCCGTCGCAAACCAGTTAGGTTTTTTTTTCAAGTCTTCACAGGATGCGCACAAACGATCATGTGCATGCTCACCTTTTGGTGAGAAAAAAAATATTCCTGTTTGCCACAGAAGTGGCACCTGGCAATTGCTGGTATGATCATGCCGCTTCTTTGCCTAACTGCAGGAGAGCCGTGTGATCGACGGGACGTGTCATCGGACAGCCGCGCGTTATTTTGCTCCGGGGCAAACAGCCACGCTCCCCCCCCCCCCCCTTTTTTTTACCCCCTGGCCCAGGCGTTAGCTTTTAAGGTGTTCCTGGACTCTTGCTCTTTTCTGCTTTATTTCTTTTAAATGCCTGTTTCACTCTCTGTCCCATTTTTATCTCCACGACAATGAGGTTAGGCTGAGAGTAGGTGACTGACTGGGGATTCAAACCTGGCACTCCCAGATGCTACTGCTGCAGGCTGGCTCATAAATGAGCAGTGGAGCAGAAAGGGGGAGAGATGGGTTGCCCATTTTTTTTGCTGACTGAATGGCCCAGGTTCTCTCCATTCATGACTCCTCTGTGCTTCTGCAGTGAAGATGGTTACTTGCTTGGCAAAATACCTGGGAAGGTTTAGTAGCTGAATAAAGGAAACCTTTGCACGGCCTTGCCACTTGAGGGCATTCCCCATTGCTGACTTGTGATGTGCATTCTCACGATGGTCTTCCAAGCCCCATTGGTGAAGGGGTTTTGACGAGAGTGGCCAAAAGGCCTTGACTGAAGTCAGCTCATCTCCACCGATGCAAAACAAACAAACAAACAAACGAAGTGGCTCTTTGCAGGGAAACTGCTGGATAATCTTGATGTTGAGTGCATCACGTAGGGCCCAGAAGTAGTAACCTTGCATCTGGGCTTTGCTGCTCAGGCGGCTAGTGAGGGCTGGCATCTTTAAGTGCTCCTTCTGCATAGGGAATAGTGCTCCTGCCTATGACCTTGGTGCTTTGCTGATAACATTTTCTCTTTTGTTTTTTCTTCAGGCTATTGAGGGTACTTACATTGACAAGAAATGCCCCTTTACTGGTAACGTGTCCATTCGCGGCCGTATTTTGTCAGGTAGGAGGAGGTTCTGTTTTGAACTACTCGGGGGGGGGGGGAATATGTCCTATTTTTTGTCCCCTCTTAAAATTAGTGGCACAGTTTGCTTCCTTCAAGCACAGGGCTGTAATTCAGAAACAGGAAAATACTTGTGACTGGTGATAGAAGGATTGGGTAAACAGAGGGAAACGATTACAGCCAAAAGTGTACATTTGCTGTTCAGGGACAGACCCAGTATTTAATTTTTGTAAAATTAATTTTATTTGATATTTATACCCTGCTTTTTCTCCCAGTGGGGCACAAGTGCTCAAAAAGTCATGCAAAAAGAGTAAATTTATATGACAAGAATAACAGAGGACTGCATGTATCAGTAAAACCAAATTACATCATACAATGTACAGGTCCATGAATAGTGCAAGTCCATAAATGGTACACAGACAAGGACGAAGACTCCGGATTGTAATCTTTGTTTCGACAGATCTTCGTCAAGAAGTTCACACTACTTCATAAAGTACTCATAATGTACAGAAGACTTTATAATGGTGTATGTAGGAGGGAAAATCCTTAGCACAGCACTCACAGTGTATAAAAGCCTTCAGACCAGTATTACAGGGAAAAACTCAATCCTCTTATAATCATTCAGAGCCGAGCACCTGATCAACAGTAGAACAAACTCTCCAGTAGTCGGTAAGCCTCCTGCACACACCATTATAAAGTTTTACTGACACATGTGGTCTTCTGTTATTCTTGTCATATAAATTTACTCTTTTTGCATGACTTTTTGAGCACTTGTGGTCTGCCTTATTTGTGCAGTGCTTGCTTGCTTTCTGCCCATATCCGCTCCCCCCATCCTTCAGCTGCAGGTGATGTTTTTCTCACGATGGTCTTCTGAACCCCATGGTGAAGGGGCTCTGTTGAAATTGCCCAGTGGCTTAACTGATGCGGCTTGAAGGACATGATGGAGATGTGCATGAGCGCCGTTAGTCAAGCCATAATTGGGGGGG